TTCTGTTCTTTAATTGAAATGTGCATTGCTAACAGCGGAGCTATCTCAGCCGATAGGCTGCTTGTTCATGATTATGTTAGATAAAGCTGTTTTATTGGCTGCATCAATGAATTGGATCCACCAATCAGCATTCCTGTAACAACTCCCTGAACCAATTTCAAATTTAAACCAATAGATTTTGTTGTCTTCTATCACGTTGTGGCTTGAGTTAATAAAAACACAAGACTTTGTGTTTCATTAACATTGACTGCATCAGATTATGTGCCATTGTGATTGATTTCGTTGACAGTAAATACAGGGTAATTGTGTGAATTTTGCCAAGGTATAATAGTGAGGCAATGATCGAATAAACAAACCTTGTTGTGTAAGATACAAGCTTGTCAGAGCTGTCAGTTGCATAAATGTCATAAGTTATTCTAATGGGGAAAACAAGATTACAATATCTTATTATCTGAATGTCGGTCTTGTTATTGATGAAATACTGACAATATTATCAAAAAAAAAACAAATGATAAACTGATAAATAAATACTACTTATTGAGTGTAAAATATTCTTTCAATTGATACATAGCAAAGGCATACTTTTCATTTGTATTCTCTTAAAAATAATTACTGCCATTAATTAAAATCAATTGTTACAGTGTAACTTTGCTTGTTAAATGCAAAGTTAAACAGTAAGACTATAATAATTAACACAATCAAATGTTTATTCTTCAAATGTATTAGTGACGCATCCCAAAAAGTAGTTGTCTTCTGGTGTACATGTTGACTTGTATTGTTTAGATATAGACAGCCATGTTTCAGGACTATCTGTTGAGTTACATTTCCACTGTATCTGCAGAAAACCTTTCACTGATCTCTGTAAACATCAAAAGAGCTTTAGATTTTGTACAGTTAATGAGAAATCTTATCCAACAGAATCCTGAAATTGAATTTAGAAGTACCTACTAAAATATATAGGCCTGATTGGTGATAACAACAATGAGAAATGTTACATTTGTTGATTACACACCACAAACTTCAATGCAGGCTTGCTTCAGTATTCAGTATTTTAGGATTTGTTGCTTAACTAACTGATTTTGTAATTTGTCATGGTGACTACAGTAATGAGTATATAATACATAATGGGAATGTAACTTTAAAATAACACATGAAAAATTATTTGACATACTCCACTCACTTACAAAACTTATTTTCTAGTCACAAGACACTGAGATAAAAAGTGTGTCTGAAGATGACAAGCTAATGATTTCACCTTCGTTATTACCGCTGTCTGATACACCACCAAAACAACAAACCATTATCGAAAACACTGAAGAACAGGTGAGCATTTAGTAAATGGTAACTTCTGGCACTCTCTTATAAATGGCTAACAAAAAAAAATTATGTCGCACTCGATAAGAGTGTTATTTATTTTTTTCATTGATTTGAAAAGAAATGTGAAAAGTGTGACCCATATTTAGCTATTTTGTGAAAGTTATGTGTACATGTATATAGACATAAAGTACTCCTGACATGTTTGGTATCTTTTATTTTCATGAGAGCAACACATATCAAATATAGCAACGTTTTCTTGTATAAAAAACTTTCTGTCAGGCTTGTCTGGGACATCAGGCTGCCACCCACTTGTCATACTATGGCATCCCCCACTCCTAATCTACCATATTTCTATTCAGCAATGGTTCTTTCATTACTAATGCTGATAATGTTTTAGATGAGACACCAAGAGATTCTTTACTTCATTCACTGTTTATAATCTCTGCATTTTTTGATGCAACAGCAGATATTTTGGATGGAAACAGAATAAACACTTTGATGATCTAGTAGTTGTCATTCATTTATTGCATATACTTTTATAAATTTGGTATGGAAAGACTTTCTTAATGCCCCCTAACCCCTAACACTAAATCCCCCAATGTAATTTAATGTGCCTCTCCAAATAATTGTAAATAAGGGGTATACACAATTGAAATGGAGGAAGGATATTCGAGAGGCAGAATTAGAATTATGGATTAGGGGAGGGGCCTTGGTTTAGGGTAACCTGAAATTAAAGTTCAATTTATTTTTCCAATTATTCACTAGCAATCCATGTTTAAAAAATTGGGATACTGTATTTGTTCTGTTAGAAGTGCATGTAAACTAACAGTTGTACGTGTTGTAATACTGGATTATTATGCATGAGTTACTAGTAGAGCAAATATATAG